GACCTCCTTGCTTAGCCATTTGATTGAATGGAAACTTCCAGGCAGCACTGAGGGGAAGGGGTGGAGGCCGGCCAGCCAGCATCTGGAACCTAGAATTTAAATCTCCCAGCCAGGGAAAGTGCATCCATGCTGGGCGCCGGTGGCTCCGGCCTGTCATCCCAGCTCTTCAGGAGGCTGGGAGATCTGAGGATCACGGTTCGATGCCAGCCCGGGCAGGAAAGTCTGTGAGACTCTTTTGTCTCCAAGAGCCAGAAGTGGAGCTGTGGCTCAAGCAGCAGAGGGACAGTTCTGATTGAAAAGTTAAGGGACAGGGCGTAGGGTCTTGAGTTCAAGCCTCAATACCAGCGCGCATGCGTGTGCGCACACGTTATGTGAGCACACGGGCACCCAGTACTGCTCTGTCTCTGCTCCAAACCCCTTTCATGTTCTCAGCCATGGTCATCACCCTGCTCCTGACCAGAGCCTAGGCCCAAGACATGCCTCCATCCACAAGATCCTTGATGCTCTGGGCTGGGACATCATGACCCTCCCCCCCCCCCAGCCCTGGACCACGAGCAAGGCTCACAATAGGTAAGCTTGGCCAGGAGGGGACCTTCCTGCCCCTCCCTCAGTTAACCTATTGGGTCTCCCCTGTCTGGTCTTGCTATGGACACCTGGGAGGGGACATGGTACAAACAAGCTCTTACTGCTGGGGATCCCCCGGCCTGCCTGCCATCCAAACTGGGCTTGGTGTCTGACAGATCTGAGTTTGATGCCAGCTCGACTACTTGCTAACCTCATGAAATGTTAGCCGCTTGGTGCCTCAGTTTCCCCTGCTTTAAACAGGAGCCAACAGTAACACAGCAAGCTCAAGGGCTTCTGTGACAGTTGTGTGCGATGTAGTGAGGGCATGTTCATCTAGCACACAGTCCCTTATTTAAAAAAATAAATAACTACCAGCCACAGTGCCAGAGGCTCACGCCCGTCACCCAAGCTCCTCAGGAGCCTCAGATCTCAGGATCATGGTTAGAAGCCCAGCCTGGGCAGGAAGATCCATGAGACCCTTATCTCCAGTTAAAAAAGCAAAAGTTGGAGGTATGGCTCAAGAAGTAGAGGGCCAGCCTTGAGCAGAAAAGGCTACGGGTCAGGACCTGAGTTCAAGCTCCACTATTGGCGTGTGCACACACACTCATACACTCGCACACACACGCACACACACACAAATAATAATGATTAAAAGAAAAACACTGTGTGGAAAATGCCTTGAGGTGAAGTACGCTATAAATGATCATCGGTGGGGTTCATCTGTTCCATCAACTCATTATGATGCCACATCAGACTGATAATTAGTTAGAGCTGTCAGAGCCTGGGCTGTCAAGGCTAGAACATTCTGCGGCTACCTTTTTCTAAGAAGGGGGGGCGGGGGAACCTCCTTGGAAACAAGAGTTTCTGAATGTCCTGTGAGGCCTCTGTCCTGGGGTAATTACCAGCCTGTCCAAAGCCCAGGCTAAAACTCAGCTGCCCAAACAAACACCCCTTCTCCACAGGGCTAGGCCAGAAAAAGCATCTTATGTCACTGATTACCACAAACCGGGCTGCAGTGGTCACTCGGATCCAACCAGCAGCAGTGACTTCATTTCCTGGGGTTACATTCTCCTGGGAAAGGAGGGGGACGAGGGGGCTGGACGTCAGAGACCACCAGAGAGAGCTGGCCACACACAGAAAAAAAAAAAAATGGTTACCTTAGGTTTTCCCCAAACCTGCATGCTTTCCTGGGATCAGAGAAACATCTACAAATGTTAAAAGCCCCAAGGGATGATCCCCTTCCATCAAACTGAAAAACAACGTCAGCCCCTGCCAAATCCCATGGGCGATTCCTGGATCAGGGTTAGGAAGCCTCGGGAAGGATGGAGGAGGCAGGATCTCTGCATCTATGAAGATGCAGATGGACAGGAGATGGACAGGACCTACAACAAGCCTCTCCTCCATGATGAATGGTGGAGGTCCAGGGCTTAGCAAACCAAAAGCAGATGTTCAATTGGTGGTGCTAAGCTTTTCTGCCTCCTCATTCTTCCTCCCCTTCCTCTTCTGAGATGCTTCCAGACGGCACCCTCCCCAGAAGGCCGCGGGATTGAACCATCCCAGAAGGCCGCGGGATTGAACCATCCCAGGATGTCGCGGGATCGAACCATCCCAGGATGTCGCGGGATTGAACCATCCAGGAGGTCCTGGGAACCAGGAAAAGGAAGCTTGAGCTGGGCTGGAGAGTGTCAGGAACACGCTGTGCTGGGAGAAAGGAGGCAGCCCCATCCTGAGTGAGCAACACACACAGTACAGGGTTTGCCCTAGGGGCCCAGCCCAGGCATACAGCACCGTAGCACTGGCAGGCACTCAGAAGGTGCTCAAGCCCCAAGCTCTGACGTCAAAACCCAACCTCACAGCACCTGAGATGACTAATGCTTCCCTCAGGGTTATTAGTGGAAGGCCAGGGGAGCCAGTTCTTAACTCCCAGGGAGGGGACAAGGAAATGAGCATTCACCACGTACGTATTACACTGCAGGTACAGAGCAATCTGAGAGCATGCTTTTAAGTTGAATAGGAGAAAAACATAGGCAATGAATAACTGTGTGAGACAGAGACTGACAAATACTCAAGCCCAGCAGGCACTAGGTTAAGGACCTTTGGGCTAAATAATCCAGTGTTATTCCTGCAAAATATCACCAGGCACCCTTACTGTCTGGCTCCTCCTGTCTTCCCATGCTTGGCTTCTGTATTCAGAGCACTTATCACTCTCATGATTAATAGTCAGATCTCTCTGCAGGAAGGTTCCAGAATCCACAGATTCAACCCAACTCAGGCTGAAAATCCTGGGGGGATGTGGGGACAACGGGGAAACAGACTGATGGCTGCTGGTGGCTGTCATCCTGTCATCCCAGCTACTCAGGAGGCTGAGATCTGAAGATTATGGGCCAGCCAGCCTGAACAGGAAAGTCTGAGAGACTCTGATCTCCAATGAACCATCAAAAAGCCAGAGGTAGAGGCATGGCTCAAGTGGTACAGTGCCAGCCTTGAAGAAAAAAGTTAAGAGATAGTGCCCGGGCACTGAGTTCAAATCTCAGTACCAGCACATGCACACACACACACACACACACACACTCCTGAGTGTGAAAAGAAAATTTCAGTGCTGAACAGGAGAGGGAGTGGTTGGCTCCCCGTGGGGACTTTGCATATTGTATGCACAGCAAGGAAGCAACTTTGAAGTCTGAAGCCAGTGCCAAAGGCAGGAAGCTCCAGGGTCTGCTCGCCCACATCCCAGGGGCAGTGTGGAGGCCAGGCTGACCAGATGCCAATGGCATTCCGTGTCTCACATAGCTACAGAAATGATAACGCTAGCAACCGGAAGCCCACATCAACTCCCCCACCCTCCCTGGTGGACCTGAAACATGGAGAGACGCTTGTGGAGGGCACCCACTCAGAGGACGCTGATCCGGCCTCTGGCAATTCCAGATCACAGAGATGATTAAGAGGGGAAAAAGTCCACTGGCCAAACACAGAGATGAACAAGGGATTTCCATCCATCCACGGATCTACCCTCCTACCCCACCCCACCCCCGAAAAACAGAACCCAAGCATCTTCTTTTGCTTTGACAAACCACATTCAATTTGGCTTAATTGTGTGTATGTGTTTGTGTGTGTGTTGTATGTGTGTGTGTGTGTGTATGTGTGTGTGTGTTGGTACTGGGGATTGAATTCATGGCCTGGGTATTGTTCCTGAGCTTTTTCCACTCAAGACTTGGTCTACTACCATTTGAGCCTAAGCTCCACTTCTGACCCTTATGGTAGTCAATTGGAGATAAAAGTCTCTCAGAGGTCTGGGAATGTGGCTTAGTGGTACAGTGTTTACCTAGCATGCATGAAGCCCTGGGTCCAACTCCTCAGTACCATATAATCAGAAAAAGCTAGAAGTGGTGCTGTGGCTCAAGTGGTAGAGTGCTCTCCTTGAGCTGAAGAGCTCAGGATCAGTGCCCAGGCCCAGATTCAAGCCCCATGACTGACAAAAAAAAAAAAAAAAACAAGAAAAAACCTGTTTCATTCATTGGCGACACTGGTGGTTCATGCCTGTTATGCTAGCTACTCAGAAGGCTGAGATAGAGCAGTAACCTTGAGCAAAAAAGCTCAAGGACAGCACCCAGGGCCCTGAGTTCAAGCCCTAGGATCAACTCTCTCTCTCTCTCTGTCTCTCTGTATCTCCCTCTCTCAAGTGGATGGACCAGGAAAAAATTATGTCAAGTGAATTAAGTCAGGCTTAGAGAGAAAGAGGGCACATGTTTTCTCTCATAGATGGAAGTTAGATCTACATTATAAACATAGATGAACGCATATCCAGGGCCCTATGCATATACTTACAGTTAGCTAAGGAGATGGGGGAGACGAATGGAGGGAGGAAGGGTGGGCAAATTCAGTCATAATATTCAATGTGCATAAGTGGAAATGGATGAGTCGCTTGAGGGCATGGGTGGGTTGGGGGAGATGGGGGGAGAAAGATGGCAGTGGTGACGATGATCGGGACACATTGGGGTCATAAACTAACATACTGACTGGAAATCTCTTTGGATAACTATTTAAAGGTGATTTTTGTGCTGCTTTGTGTTGCCAGTCCTGGATCTGAATTCAGGACTTGGGCGCTGTCCCTGAGCTTTTTGAGCTTGAGGTGCTATACTGCTTGAGCCACAGCACCACTTCCAGATTTTTGTTTCCCTTTGTGTGTGTGTGTGTGTGTGTGTGATTAACTGAAGATAAAGAGTCTTATGAAATTGCCTGCCCAGGCTGGCTTTTAACTGTGATCCTTTGATCTCAGCCTCCTGAGTAGCCAGGGTGACAGGCGTGAGACACAAAGGCCTAGTCTTAAAGATAATTAAAATATATACATACATAAGTATGTATGTATATTCACACACACACACACACACACACACACACACACATTCTTCCTCTAGGGAAAGGGGAGGAGAATGACTTACACTTCTGTCGTGATGAATCCCGTCAGTTCCGAGAGGAAGAGGAAGAGGATGAAGAGGCAGCAGCAGACGGAAACTACAAGGGAAGACACGGGGTCAGTGAGGCTTGGTGTCGTCCCCCCCCCACGCCCATGCTTCAGAACAAAGCTGCTTGGGGGACCTAGGACACAGGGTGGCAGGGACTTTCCTAGAGATCTTCATGCTAGGGGCTGGGGGCTCACGCCTGTCATTCTAGCTCCTGGGGAGGCTGAAATCGGAGGATCAAGGTTTGAAGCCAGCCCAGGCAGGAAAATCAGTGAGACTCTTTATCTCCAATCAACCAGCAAAAAGAGCTAGAAGTGGAGGGGGTGGGTCAAGTGGTAGGACACCAGCCTCCAGTGAAGAAGCTAAGGAACAGTGTCCAGGCCCTGAGTTCAAGGCCCAGGACTGGTACAAACCCAGTTAACAGTCCCCTGTGTGAGTCTGCCCCAAGGCCTCAACCACTGCCAGTCTCATGGGTTTCCCATGGGCGTATAAATATGCAGGTATGCATTAACATATGCAAATATATGCAAATAACAAGCAGCATTTCACATCAATACATTACATAACAAACTATATAATATTACATGTTAATACATATTTAGTTTTGTTTTTTTTTTGGGGGGGGTCCAGTTGTGGGCCTGAACTCTGGGCCTGGGCGCTGTCCCTCAGCTCTTGAGCTCAAGGCTAGCGCTCTACCACTTGAGCCACAGCGCCACTTCCGGCTTTTTTTTTCTGCTTCTGTGGTGCTGAGGAATCGAACCCAGGGTCTCATGCATGCAAGGCAAGCGCTCTACCACTGAGCCACCTTCCCAGCCCCTAGTTTTTAATACATTAATGTATTTTTTTTTTTTTTTTGTACAGGCACTGGGATTTGAAAACTCGGGACCTGAGCACCGTCCTTGAATTTTTTTTTGCTCTAAGACTAGTTGCTCTACCACTTGAGCCACAGCTCCACTTCTAGCTTTTTGCTGGTTCATTGGAGAGTAAGAGTCTCATGGAGCTGGGTGCCAGGGAATCGTGCCTTTCATCCTAGCTACTCAAAGAGGCTGAGATCTGAGGATCATGGTTTGAAGTCAGCCTGGGAAGGAAAATCTGTGGGAAGGAAAATCTGTGAGACTCCTATCTCCAATGAACACCAGAAAACCAGAATTGGCATTGTGGCTCCAAGTGGTAGAGCATTAGCCTTGAGAACAAACATCTCAGAGACAGTGCCCAGGCCCTGGGTTCAAGCTTCATGGAATTTCCTGCCCAGACTGGCTTTGAACTACAATCCTCGGAGCTCAGCCTCCTTGAGGAGCTGGGATTACATGCATGAGCCACCATGCCTGGCTGGATATAAAGGTTTTCAGTCCTTGTTTGGGCAAGGCTCTGAGGTTCTCAGACACGTGGAACCACAGGAATGAATACTGGTTAGAGCTGAGAGAGTTCTGAAGGTCACATTGCTGTGAGTGAAGGAGGCCCAACTCGAGCGGTGTGTGAGCTGCGGTCACCTTCCTCTGCCCTTCTGTTCTTCTTAGCATTGTAAGCCAGTGCCATGGTGGGTGCGGGTCAGGCCTGCTCTGCCTCGTTCTCAAGCACAAAGCTGAAGGTCAGTGGGTTCGGTGCCAGCACCTGGCCTGGCCCCAGGGCTCTGCTTGATCAACATTTCCTCCGTCCATGGCGGCTGGGGCTGTGGGCTTTCTCTCCCTCCATCCTCCGATCTCAGTCTGCTGAGTAGCCAGGATTCCAGGGCTGAGACATGGTAGCCAGCTTGCATGACAATTTTAGTGCCCCTGTGCTTTGGCTGTTAACGCACCACGCGGGGCCAGGGGTGAACTTGGCACTGTGATCACACATTGGCCCCCCAAGTATTTTGGCTCTGGGGCTCAGTGGCCCAGCACTTGCTTATTACGCATGATGTCTTCTTATGGGGTGCAATAAGCATCGGCATTCAATGCAGAAATCACCACTGTTCACGATGCCCTCCCTCCCTTTCTTTCCAGAATTCAGCTACCCAGGGGCACATGCAGGAAGCGAAGGGGGGGGGGGGGGGGGGGGGGGGGGGGGGGAGGGGATGTCAAAGGGTCGCTACTCACTAATGGCGCCGGTGTATGTTGGCTGTGTCAGGTCTTTGGGCACCTTCCTGTAGATGTCAAACCTGCGGTAGACAGACAAGAGCATGAGTGTGGTGGGCACAAAGCGCAGGCTATGGGGGTCAGGGAAGCAAAGTTCTTCTCCCAGGTCGCCCCTCCTCCCTAGGCCCCACCCACTGGCCTTCCAAGGGCCCCCATCTCCAGAAGTGCAGCTCTGGCTCAAGTGGTAGAGCGCCAGCCTTGAGTGAAAAAAGCTTTAGGCAAGGTGCCCAGGTTCTGAGTTCGAACCCCGGGATTGGCACGTGCGTGAGCGTGCACACTCACACACACAAAATGAATAAAAATAAAATGAAGGAATAGATGCTTAGAATCTGGTGCTAGCACAAATAAACAAACAAACAAATGGGAGATGCTGGGTAGAATCTCACTTAGCCTTTTTGGTTTTTGGTTGATCGTGGGGCTTGAACTTGGGGCCAGGGCATGGTCTCGGAGCTTTTGTGCTCAAGGCCAGTGCTCTACCATTTGAACCACTGTGTTACTTCTGCTTTTCTGGTGGTTCCTTGGGGATAAGAATGTCAGGGCAGGGACTTTCCTGCCCGGGCTTGGCTTGGAACCGTGATCCTCAGATCTTAGCCTCCTGGGTAGCTGGGATTACAGGCGTGAGCACTGGTACCTAGCACTCACTCACTTTTCAAATGAAGCTGCCCTGAAGCAAGCAGGAATCTCTTAGAAGACAGAGACCAGTTCAATTCACTCAGGCACCAGATAGAGACTAGTCATCTTGATGGACCAGGCTATGTTGCAGGTGGGGAAATAGAATCGATCTAGGCACACACACACCCTTCCCCTCCTTTTTGGTCCTTGGGAACAGGAGGTAACACTGATCGGGACTCCCCTCCTCCTGCCACAGACCCACGCTGGAGGCGAGGGGGAATTATGGGAGCATGGCAGAAAGATCCTGGCTTCGGAGCTGACCACAAGTCCGAGTGAGTCAGCAGTGAATGTCATTGAGAAACTGGGGCGCCAGGAGGCATGGGACCAATCAGGAAGTGAGCCTTGTCCCCTGGCTGAGTCACATTAGCCAGCCCCCCCCCCCCCCGTGGTGATGTCGATGGGGGAGAGGAAAGGGACGTGGCATGCAGGCCTACTATGCGCTGGAGCCTTTGAATGAGATGTTTAATTCCCCCCCCACCCCTCACCCCAGTCCTGGAAATTGATATCAAGGCCTAGTGGGTCCCCACCCCTTGAAGCACAGCTCCACTTCCGGCTTTTTGGTGGCTCACTGGAGCTAAGGATCTCATACACTTTTCTGCCCAGGCTGGCTTTGAACCATGATCCTTTAGATCTCAGCCTCCTGAGTGGTGAGGAGAACAGGTGTGGGCCCAAGGGCGCCCAGCTCTCACTGTCTTGAATAGAACCTGTGTTTGCAGGTGGGGAGGGAGATTAGTAGCTTATTAAACACACACACACACACACACACACACACACACACACACACACACGTACTTCTATACACCTGCCTCATTTACGCTCTGGGGACAAAGAGGGTCATGTGGGTGGAAGAGAGGTTAAAGAACTGGAACTAGCCGGACACCAGTGGCTCACGCCTGTCATCTTAGCTACTCAGGAGGCTGAGAGCTGAGGATCTCGGTTCAAATCCAACCCAGGCAGGAAAGCCCATGAGACTCTTGTCTCCAACGAACCACCAGAAAACCGGAAGTGGCGCTGTGGCTCAAGTGGTAGAGCGCTCGCCTTGAGCTGAGGAGCTGAGGGACAGCGCCCAGGCCCAGAGTTCAAGCCCCAGTACAAGGGATGGAAGGGAGGGAGGGAGGGAAAAGACAAAGAAAGAAAAAGAAGGCAGGAAAGAGGAAGGAAGGCAGGAACGAAGGAGAGACGGAAGGAGGGAAAGAGGGAGGGAAGGAGAGAAGGAGAGAAAGACACCCCCACAATTTAACCCCCCTTGGAGCCTCCCATCCTGACACTAAGTCTCCCCAGGAGTTTGAGGCATAGGATTCCGTCAACATAAAATGCTAGAAAGGGGACAGGCTGTGGGCACATGCCTTTATTCCCAGCTACTCAGAAACACAGGAGGATCACGGTTGGAGGCCAGCCTAGACAAAGAGTTACCAAGATCCCATCTTAAGCAAGCAGCTCCGATCGGGTGGCGCACACCTGGAGTTAGCATCTCAACTGAGTGAGAGGCTTACAATCTGAGCCTGCCCCTACCCCAAGTCCAAACAAGGAGACTCTACCTGAAAAATAACTAAAGCAAAGGGGGAGGGGGAGGGGCTAGGGGTCAGTTCCCCCTAGTGTCTTACTCTTTTATTATTATTGTTGTTGTTGTCTGTCATGGGCCTTGAACTCGGGGCCTGGGCGCTGTCCCTCAGCTCTTCAGCTCAAGGCGAGCGCTCTACCACTTGAGCCACAGCGCCACTTCCAGTTTTTTCTGCTTAGGTGGTGCTGAGGAATCGAACCCAGGGCCTCATGCATGCAAAACAAGCGCTCTACCACTGAGCCACCTTCCCTGCCCATCACATTTGGCTTTTTTTCCCCAAGCCTAGAGCGCTACACAGCCCCACTTGCGGTTTTCTGGTGGTTCATTGGAGATGAGTCTCATGGACTTTCCTGCCCGGGCTGGCTTTGAACCACGATCTTCAGATCTCGGCCTCCTGAGTAGCTAGGTGGGAGCCACCAGCACCCTGCCAGGAGTCTTACTTTTGTGTGCGTGCCAGTCGTAAGGCTTGAACTCAGGGCCTGGGCATGCCCAGCCTTCCTGGAGTGTGACATGAATGGGCCATGCTTGTCACCAGTGGTATGTAAGCCCAAGTTGGCTGGGCGCAGGAAGCTTTTGATTTTAGAATGAAAGGGTCAGACGGCTTACGATCACCTCTGCCCTCCCTTCTGTTTCCCTATCCTGGATAGAGATGTAACGTCTGGAGCTGGGCAGCTCTTTTGGGACAGAATGGAAAAGCTGTATGGTGACAGCAAATGCAAAGACACTGGGGTGACACAGCATCTTTCAGACGCTAGCGCAGTGTCACCAGCTGCCTAAACCTCTTGTTTTCTCATTATGTAGGGAAAGCTGGGCACTGGTGGCTCACACCTGTAATCCCAGCTACTCAGGAGGCTGAGATCTGAGGATCACGGTTCAAAGCCAGCCCAAGCAGGAGAGATCATGAGACTCTCTAATTAACCAGCAAAAAGCTAGAAGTGCAGCTGTGGCTCAAGTGGTTACCCAGGGCCTGAGTTCAAGCCCCAGGACTGGCACAAAAAAAAAAAAGAAAAAAGAAAAGAAAAAAAAGTAAGACTTCTCTTCCCGTTCCTGGCTGAAGGGCATAGGAAAAGGATTCCGTGTCCTCTTGGCCTGGCCAGAGGTGACTTAGTGATGGTTTTGCATTTAGGTACACTTCGGTATTGCCAGTTTTTCTATAATAAGGTGATAAATGAATCGACAGCCTGGATCTGCCTTAGAAGAGATCTGTGGTTGGTTGGCTGCCCTCTCCTCCCTACCCAACAGCTCTGCTCACGCTGTCTGTCACCCACAGGCCTCTGTCCCAGCTCCATGCCACCCCAGGGCCTTTGCACATGCTGTGCTTTGTATGACTCCCCTCCCCACCTCAATATTTCCACCATTATGGAGTATGAAGCGTGGAGGGGCCCGGGCCTGGCACAAGAGGGCACACAGGCCCCCGCCCCCAGGCCAGCGGGGTGCCCACCGGCCGAGCCACGCGCCCGTTACAGCTGCACATGCGCACACTCCAGTTACGCTTGGTTCCCGCCAGAGCCAAGTGTAATTTTTCCAGAAGGCATTCATTCAGATGCAGTCTCCATTCAGCAATGTCCTGGCCAGGCGCCAGTCCGGCCTTCCCTGGGCACACGCTGTCCTGAGAGGTGGAGGCCAAAGAAAGCAACCATCACTTCCTCCTCCGTCCTCCACCCCCGGCAGACCCGCCCTCAAGCCCCTCCCACCCCCAAGTTCCTCCCACTCCCAAGCCCCTCCCACCCCCATCTCTCAGGTCAGCACTGCCTTAATGAAGTAGGTGTCAAAGGACACCTGGTAGCATGCTTGGAAAGACAAAATGTGGGGTTGGAGGCCTGGCACGGGTGGGAGAGCGCCAGCCAGCGAGCAAAAGCATCAGGCACGGAGTTCAAGTTCTGCTCTCAAACAAAAAGGACAAATGATTAAGATGAGCTCACAGCTGATCCATCCAGGAAGCCCCCCGGCCCCCCCCTTCTTTGGAGGCCCCACCACACCCAGAATTTCAGGGGTACAGAAAGATCGCACGCCACCCACTGCTCAAGGACCAAGGGCTAAAAGCTGGGCACCGGTGTGCACGCCTGTAATCCTAGCTACACAGAAGGCTGGGACCTGAGGGTTGCAGTTCGAAGCCAACTGGAGCCGGGGGGGGGGGGGGGGGGGTCTGTGGGATTCTCCTCTCCAATTAAGCACTCCAAAAGAGCTGGAGGGCTGAGAAGGTGGCTCAGTGGTAGAGTGCTGGCCTAGCATGCATGAAGCCCTGGGTTCGATTCCTTCCTTGAGCAAAAGAAGCGCGGGGACAGTGCCCGGGCCCAGAGTTCAAGTCCCATGACTGGTCGAATTTCTCTTCACACCAACTTGCTAGTAGATTCCTTCACACATGTATAGACTGGCCTTGGAGACCAGCCATGACCAAGACCCTGTGGCACATACATAGGAAGAGCCCATATTCCGAGCGCCACCCCCACCCCACCCCAGCCCTCCTGCCAAGGGCCTAGGCAGAAAGCCCCAGGTTGGAATCTTGCCATCTGCCCTCCGTGGAGGAGCTGGGCTGTGTGATATTTTTCTCCAAAACTCAATGGCCTGCCACACAAAGTCGGGCTTTCCTGCCCGGGCTGGCTTTGAACTGAGATCCTCAGATCTCAGCCTCTTGAGTAGCCAGGACGACAGGCGTGAGTCACCAGCGCCCAGCTCCAAAACAATATTTTATCAACTAAAGGTTATGATGATGAGTGGGCTGAGAAATTAGTGAGTTAGTGCTGACTGCCACTAGTGTGTGTGCACGTGTGTGTGTGTGTGTGTGTGTGTGTGTGTGTATGTATTGGGGGGGGTTGGTCA